AAAAAAAAAAAGGCAAGTGAAGGAACAAATGCCTTTTCGTAACATTTAGTGTTCAGTTCCACAACCGGTTTATATAGACAGGGCTTCATTCCTGGGGCCACATGAATGAAGCTCACCATCAGATTTGATGGCAAATACAATTTAATGGGAAATACAAAGCTGCTGTGAAAATGAGAAAACTATTTACTTTGTACAAAGAACAAAGCCACAGTTGTTCTACCAGTTGTAGAAGCATTTGCAGTATGAATTTATATCCATTGAGTCCTTTGACTAGGGGAATTATTTGCATGTAATACAAAACAACAGGAGTTACAAGGTAGTCCAATCTAGTTCTTATTTAGTACAGAACCACAAATTCAGAAATCTTGGTTTTCTGCTGCCACTAAAAGCAAAAAGAAACCTCTCTGGGTTTTGGTACTAACATTTTTTCCCCCAGTTTTCCAATGTATACCTACACCCTCTTGCTTGATGCTTTAAAGCTTTGCTTTTAAGGCAGTGTCTTAACAAGCTCAAGTAGCTTGCACTAAATTGTTTATTTTAACATAATGATCTCCCTTTATTCTTATTTATTGTGAACCCTTTTCAGTATTACTTTATTAAAATGTAATAATGAAAAATGTAGGTATTTAAATTTACCTAAGTATTATAGTGATACTGTCTTCCATCCTATGGAATGATTTCCTTACCCATAGTAGGAGCTGTTGGTGCTAGCATGCAGCTGCTGGCATAAATTCGGTTACTGTTTGTTGCACTGCCTTTGTGAGAGCCACAAGCAGTTCAGGAGACTGTTCAATACATGACCCTTAAAAGGAGTTCACCTGAAGAAGTAAGTTTTCTGATTACATTGCTCTGCTGTAAGAAGAAACTAGTAAACAATAGAACTGAGAAGTAGGACAGATGTGACTGACAAACAAGGAAGTTTAAGTACATAGGTGCCAGTGCCCTTGGCCAGTCGAGACAGTGAAGGTGACACACATGACCTACCTTCCTCAGGATCTGTTGCTGAGAAACTGGTGAAATTTACCTGCAGTGGACTATTCTGAAACATAAGATAACCTAAGGGATCAGGAAAAAAAATACACAATCAGGATGAGCTATTCCAATTACTGAAAAGCAAGCTTGACATTTAGAATATTCAAATTCCACTTGTTTATATGTTCTTAGCAATCTGGGAAAAATTCTGCTATGAAAAAGAATGCAACTGGGTCAGTTCATTTGATGGTACAGATAATATGGAAATAAATTGTTGTGCTGCAGTGACTTTTAGCAGTAATTCAAAGTTCTGTTTTCAAATTAAAGGATGAACTGGACATAACCTGGCTTCATTAATTTCTAAGTATTTGCCCTGTAATTTCAGTGCTAGTCTACCTGATAGTGCAGTGTTTTATTATGCATCTGGAAATCACAAATATTTTAAAGAACTGTAAAACAAAAACAAACACAATCACTCAGAAAGTTGCTCGTTTTAAGGGGTTGTTTGTTTCAGGGTTGCAATTTTACTAAAAGGAAGGACTGCTTTAATTCCATGTGTACAGAGACATTGTCTCCAATGACACTTAATAAATACAGCCTAATAAATTTAAAGAACCAAGTATCAGCAGAAGCTAATCTTACAATGGAGACCTGTTCTTTACTACTGACATTACCAACATTTTCTTTTACCTAATTTGCTTTAAAAAAAAATTGGTCCACATACAAAATGAAATGGGGAAAAGCAATTCTAAGCTGAGCAAACATTGTCCTTTTTATTCAGTTCCAGTTGTAGTGATCTCTTGGTGGTAAATCATAATGGGATCTCTCATCCTCTTCAGGTACACAGTCTAATGGCAGACCATAATTGTAATCAACTGTTACAACTGGTAATCTTTTACTTTGTTCCATGCTTCTGGTAGTTTCACCCTGAAAAGGCTTTCTTTCATAGTCTATTGAACTATCGTCTTGGTGTATGGATGAAGACGGGTGCATTGTTCGTGCAGAGTATGGTGCAAATCTGTTTTTTACTCTATTAAATTCTTCTGAGGGATGCGTTCTCCTATTGTCTTCAGGACAATGTGGTCGATTACTGCAAGTACAAACATGAACAGTGAAATTCTGAGAAATAAACCAGTTGATTTTTTGTTGAAGGCCACCACTAGAAATTAACTGTTTAACACTGAAAGAACAATTCAAACCCTCATTCTTGTTTTTACCCCCTGAAATTAAAATCCTCTCTATGGATATTGCAAATTTGTTTGTATTAATTTTCCAATTCTAGTGATTAAAATTACAGCTCTTTACAGTAAGTAATTCTACTAAACAAAGTTTAGTTTCAAGTGCTGTTTACAATTAAAATTACCTGTTTACTGAGGATATCTTTACCTAGGGGATATATTTTCCTAAGTCCGTGTTTTCATTTTTGTGTACAATATGTAACAATAGCTCTCTAGTACATAGTCTCAACAGGCAATAATATACTTTGGAAAATATTTTAATTATTATTTCTTCTGCAATAGAAGATTCACTCTCCTATAAAATACATATGGTATTATCTAAAAATGCAAATGCTATATACACATGTGTGCGTGTATATATATACACACACACAGTGCAATTCTCTTTACTCTCAAATACGTTCCTTACTTGGTAAAGTAAGTGGTGTATAAAGCAAATTCAAAACAATCTTTAAAATTTTAAAATCTTCTCCCTTACTGAACCATAGATTCATTTATACTGGAAAGGATCTCTAGAAGTAGCTAGAGTCACTCAAACTAAGTCTCATTAGATGAGTTTGTGCAGGGGCTATGTCCATTCTTAAAGGATGTGGGACAGTGGCTCTGGGCAGCCCAGTTCAGTGCCCGCCCATCCCACATGGTAAAACTCCATAGCTCCTCGTACACAGTGCTTAAGAGTTAAATATGGCACCCGTGCTTTGCTTTTTTTGCTTACTGATGCTTCATTTATGTAGTTCATTAGCTTGAACTGTGCTTGTCATGTCAATGATTATGTCAGGGATTCACACAATAATAACACTCAGAACTCAGTATCAATGGACCACAAATTAGTCACATTATTTGCTCAGTGCTCACATGCAATGGGTTAAACTGCATTTAAGCAAAAATATTGACACAGATTTTTACACTGTGCATTTAATTTGTATTTCTTATCTGGGAAATATGGGGACTAATACTACAAAGGTAAGTAAGAAAACAATGTATGATATCTGATACTTACCTGTAATTTCTGTTAAAGTCATCGTTATCAGACCCATAATCTCTGTGAAGTGAAGGAGATGAGGAAAAATGTGGTTCTGGTACATTTTCATGGGCAGGAAAGGACTGACTTCTGCAAATAACCAAAAGAATTGAATGTTGAGAAGACTGCCAACAGTTTTAAGATTTGGAAAAAAATACACATCAAATGAAATAAAATATTTATTATTTTAATAAAAATTGTAATAACTGTATTAATTTAATACCTCAAAATCATATACTTCACTGTAATAACATCTTCTGTTTTAGCTGTACAATGGAACAAATTAAGTCAAACTTACCTAGTCCAATAAATCTGAAATACGTTCTACAATATTAAAAGTATTTTGAAGTATGTCAGAACCCAATAGGTTTACTAGTAAGTGATGTATATATTTGTGAAAATATAATGCAAGTTCTGAACGAGATTTCTAACAAATTATTAACTCTGGGAATAAAGAAAGGCAAATCAAACTTGCTTGTAGCACTCCTGTTTATCTGTGTTTGGCTGAGGGCTTAAATAAAATTTCATATCCTCTTTTGTCCAGAGGACTTCTTTTTAAGCATA